TGGGTTTCAGGGGGTGCACTGTCCATAACAGTGTATTCAGCCAGGCCTTGTAACAAAGACTGGGCTGAACCCATGTGGCTGATGTATAGATCAATGCTTGGGTCCCACGCCATACAAGGAAGCCCAACTGGGCAGCAGTTAGGAAGGCTAAGTGAGCACATAACCTTAATGGGCCTCAATCCCATTTCGAATTGGGCTAATTTAATGAGTTAAACATGGGGCGAATTCTGAGATGGATTAGCAGATAGGATAGAGTCTTAACCCTATCCACTCAGAGAGTCCAAATCTGAATGTGATTCAGATCTAGAAACCTCCTAATGAGATTAGGAGAAGGCTGATCTAATCTGCAGATAAGGGTTTATCCTTATCTCCTAAAGGGATGTTTGATCCAAATATGATTTGGATCAGCAACTCCTAATTGGATTAGGGACTGATCCTTTAGGGTTACAAAAGAAGGAAGGGGCGGCAGCCTTTAGATGACACACATTCACATCCTCTTTAGAGCTGAAATCACAGAAGAAAGAATTAAGCAACTCTGCAGAATTCTTTCTTGCCGCCTCCTTCTTCTTGCCCCTTATCTTGCCAGTTCAATCTCCAGTTCAGTGGGAGAAGTCAAGATTCGATCTTGATATCAGTTCTTTGTGAAATGACTGATTGGAAGCTGTGCTCATGTGCCATCCTACTATTTCTTGCGAAGGACTAGGTTCTTGGAGAAGAACACTGCTGATTTTTCTCCATCCTGCACTGCGCTATCTTCAGAGGGAGCAGTCTTTGGATCCTTCCTTGGGCGTGAACTCCTCCATTAGGAGATATTATTTCTTCGTATCAGGTATAATTCTCTCCTACTGCTTTTGTTCCGATTTGGTTCAGTTTATGGTTCAAGATTGATCCTTGAAAATATGATTTTCTAAATAGGGAATTCGTTTCCCAGTTGAAAGGAAGAGAAATTTTTTTTTGAAATTCGCCCACCTTATTCCATAAGATTTGGGTGTCCATACGATGGATCTCTCATCCCTTCAGTGAAAACCTAGGTATGTTGGGACATTCTGAGAATTCATCTAAGTGGGTGATCATAGTGACAAGATCAGCCCCTTTGTCGGACAAAGGTAATGATCGGGGATGCACTCTCTCTGATGGAAACCAAGACTACC